CGCCCAGCACCTGTCATCCCCCGCCACATTCTCCCTCCGCTCCCACCACCCATCCTTCTCGCCTATTCCCAGAAAAATCAGCAGTGTCACGGAAAAGCCATTCACCCATGTCCCTCTATCAAGAATTAGCCCCTCCTGCTCTCTTAATTTTTTCCCCTTCTCATTTCATTTTTCTTCCTCCTATTTTTGGGCTTCTTGAAAGAAAAATGAAAAACCATTTACACACTGCTATTTGTTACTAAATTAGATGAAAAGCCCCTAAGCCAAAAACTAAAAGTTTATGTGCAATGTTGGATGATAAAGAAATTAAAACCAGACACATTATATAATAAAAGAACTACCATTCTTTTTTCCTTTTGTATGAGAAAACTTTGAACTCCACAATTTCTTCAGAAACTATATTGAGCTATCGGGAGTCTAAAGCATGTTTTGCAGTAATTAAAATTTCTTGATAAAAAACAAAATCAAACATAGGACTCCAAGATAGACAGGTTTTTGGGTTTCTCTGTCCACGGATACAATGACTAAAAGCATATCAGTGTCATTAAAAAAAGAAGGAAAAAAAAAAAGCAGGATGAGGAAACAAGATAATTACCAATGTATTAGGGTCCATTTGAGATGACACTGAAGGGGAGAGTAAATTTGAAGGTTTGATGCTAGTGGTTGTTGAGATACCCATTCTAGAAGTCTGCATTTTAAAAGCTTCAACCTTTGAACTCACTGAGCTGGAATTTCCTTGTTCTACTTGAACTGATGCGAAGGATGCCAACTGTGATTCACGCCCCTGGTCATGCAAATGATCAATTGGTTCAGGCTTTAGATTGGTCATTGGTGTCGAAAGAAGAATTTTCTGCACTTTATTGGTGGACCGTGAGCATTGAAGTGAACTCTGTTGCATTGTTGATGTATTTGACACATGAGAAAGACTTCCACCTGGTATTCTTTTGGGTTCACCAAATGAATTTTGTCTTTCAAGCTTAGGTGCCTTTATCATATTCACGGCATGTGTTGAGGCTCTTAATGGAGTTGCATTTCTATTTGGATAAGCCGGAATTTGCCTTATCTGTATATCATTAGATGGCTGTTTGACTGGTGTCCCCACAGATGAACTAACATTAGTTACAGAATATGGACTATAGGTGTCCCCAATATTTGCAAACTTGGGAAAAGATGCCTGTGAAAAGTGCAAATGCTGCTGTTGTTGCTTATTAAGACCCTTTACTGGGAATGCTGAACAATCTCTTTCTTGTTTTACAGCAAACAAACTAGAAGAAGAAATTTGGCTTCCTGGTGTTCCATGCAAATCTGCTTGGTTTTCCACCTCATGCAATTTTTTAGCATTACTATCACCTGCCAAGTTGCTTGAATCTGTGGATGTTTGCAGAGCAGCAGCACAATGATAAGTAGGGTCAGAAAATAAGTTGGAATCTTCTGATTTGTATGAATGTTATTGAGAACACAGTTACCATCAGTTCGATTTTGCTGGTGTTGCTGTGGTGAAGCCTGAGACTGAGGTACAGCCTGATCATTTCTAGCTGCCTGATTTAAGCATTCATGTAAAATAAGTGCACAAACACGGAATGTAATTTAATTATTAGGAAATGCTGCTTCTTTTGTACCTGAGATTGGAATTTGTATACAGCCATTTTGAGCATCTGCTCACCTATTATACTTCTCATGTGTCGTATAAAACCTTCCTTAGTGATTTCATTTTTCTGATCACATTCCAACATTACTTGAGAAAAACAAATAATACCATAACAAAAAGAAAAGGATAAATGATACAGAAAACTAGTTGGCTCTAACAAACTACCCTGAGTTTAAGGTAGAGAGTCTGAAGATGCATCGCCCTGTCTTTGTCGAGTTGGCGTTGTATGTGAGGGATAAGGATGGCAAAAGGCACTTGTTTGCCCTGTTTAACTACATCTATTGCTGGTTGGCTACTCAAACCAGTTGCAGATTTTGGTTGATTACTTGTCTTTGCTGCCATCAATTGCTGACCGCTAGTCCCTGTTGGAAATGACTGCATAGATTGTTGATTACTCAATCCCTGCAAGTTTAGATGCCGGGAATCTAAATTTTCAGGATTCTTTTCAGATCTCTTCAAATTCAACACCTCAGAGGCGTGAAGTGTGTTTTGTTCAGCCCTCAGTAGTTGATAAGCATCTTTGGCATGTATATGCTGCAAACGAAGGGAATTGAGCTCCTGTGAGGAATCATCTTCGTGTTGTTGAGTAGGAGCATCTATACCATGTTGCTTTAGTTCCATATCAGATGAATCTCCCTCCTTTTGCTGCATGTTCTGCGAATTTTGAAGACTCTGATGATCGGCATTTTCATCATCGCCAGAAGTTTGCCATGGAGCAGACTGATTTAAGGTGCAACAACTTCCTGAGACAATTTACTGCATGTTAACATTGTTAAAAGATGAGATATTTTTCTCAGAGAAGAAAGAGTAATGTACTGTTAAAGGGCATTAGCACCTTCATCTTTGTGTTTCCACAAGTCAAATCAAGAGGGACCTGATATCCCTCCTCTTAGACACTACCTACCCTAGCCCACTCCTATACAACAGGGGGAAAAAGAGGGGAAAAGAGAAATGAAGCAAGTGATAAAGGTGCAGGAGGATTCTAGTTCCAGCCACAAAAAGGAAATAGTTTTCATAGAAAGTGACTTTGCCAGTGGAATGTTTGTTTTGGTAATGCATGAACAACCTAAACGAAATTCCAAACTGGAACCACAACATTACTCTATTCAAATAGGCATCTTTAATACTGCATTTTAGGTAGAGGAGAAATCTATTTACGCATTATTCACAAAACTAAATCACGTCTTTTATACTTGCGCAACATTTTGGTGAACACACCAATAAGAATCACATATTATGACGCGTATACGGCTACATATATGCATGTAAAATCATATAGACTGACAACCTTTTCCAATCTTCCGTATTGAAATGGTTGCATATCCCTGGAGAACTACAGAACTCTCTCGCCTTTCTTGCCACCATTTCCCTTGAGGCCTTTCTCTTTTAACTTTGAGTTGATAATAATTTTGTATTTTCTCAAATATATACTCCTTCCGTTTCAATTTAAGTGAACCTATTTGACTGGGCACAGAGTTTAAGAAAAAAGAGGACTTTTGAACTTGTGGTGTAAAATGAGACACATATATTTTGTGTAGCTATAAATCATTGCATAAAAGTAAATTGCTTCCAAATATGGATAGGGATCATTCTTTATGGCATGGACTAAAAAGAAAATATGTTCACATAAATTGAAATGGAGGGAGTATTACTTTTCAATGATTAGAGAAGTAAATACCATCTATTCGTTGATTACCAGTGTTGAAGTGCGTGATATTTCCTAAAAGCTTAAGTTGTTAGAGGGATAACACTTTTATTTATTTAATTGTGTCTTCAACATGCCCCATCACGTGCGAGCTTGATCTTTTTCATGGGCCATGCACGTGGAAATTCTTAATAATGGGTGTTGGTGAGACTCAAACCCAGTATCTCTGCTCTAATACCAAGTTGAAGTGTGTGACCATCTCATTTAAAAGCTTAAGTTGTTATAGAGAGCGTACTTTTGTTTATTTAATTATGTCGTCAACATAGAAACATGGCCAATGAAATTTCTTATTATGACCTTGCTCTCAATCATTAGAAGTGACCAAATCCACAACTTTCCCAACACAGAATTAAGATCATGTTGACCTACTCCACAAACCAAATTTTACAAAAGGAATGTTTAAAATTAAACAAGCCATAAAAAAAACAGGACTGACTAGCAAACCCTTCCCAAAAGTTGTTCATTACCCACGGACTACATTTTACTATAAGCATGGCTGAGAAATAGTAGGATCCTTGGAACTAAACAGACACTACTAAAAAAAACTGACATTGCTACTGTAATCTTGAAATATGGTAACCAAGCACATTAAGAAAATGTAGCTGGCAGAAAAGGAACAACAAGAATCGTTCAGATGGCATGTGGCATGCATATAAATCCTGCTTAATTTTACCTTTTACCATTCAACTACTAGGGTAACCCTCAAATCATTTCTTTTTTACTGCATGCCTTGTGAGACAACCACACATGTTAAGATATCATTTCACCGCATGCCTTGAATGGTTTAATTAACTGACATCTAATTCCTGGAGCTTTGTCCAAGGCTTATGGGCAAAATAAGCTTTCTTTCTACCGTAGAAGTTATGTGTCATCATTTTCTATTATTTGTAGTATTCTCTAATCATCACTCTTCAATATTGATACATGGACTCCCCCCCCCCCCAAAA